GTGACTGCCGGAAGGAGGAGGCCACCAACCAGACGTCCACCACAGGCATCGTCATCGGCATCCACATCGGGGTCACCTGCATCATCTTCTGTGTCCTCTTCCTCCTGTTTGGCCAAAGGGGCAGGTGGGTCCTGGGCCGGGGAGAGGGGGCTAGGCCGGCATGGGGTGGGCAGGCCTGGAGCAGAAAAGTCCCAGGGGAAGGAGAGTTTGGGGTGCATTGTCTCCATCCACCCACATCCCTCCCCCTAACTCTCGGCTCACCCCCCAGGGTCCTCTTGTGTAAAGATGTAGAAAACCAGCTGTCCCCTCCTCAGGGCCCCCGGAGCCAGAGGGACCCTGGCATCCTGGCACTGAATGGGGCGGGACGGGGAGAGTGGGGCCAGATGGGCCGAGATGAGAAACGTGTGGACATGAAGGAACTGGAGCAGCTGTTCCCCCGAGCTGGGGCCGTGGGGCCGCCAGACCCCAGACCCATGGTGAGTGCCCCCTCCTTCTTCAGCTCTGACCACCTCCTGATCCTGCACCGTGGTCATAGGCCGTGGTCACAGGCCGTGGTCACTGGCCTTCGCCAAGCTGCAGATCTTCTTCAGGCACAAAGCTAGTGGCCAGTGCCTCTTCTTTGTGTCCTGAGTCAGGCAGGGAAGCCAGGAGACAGCCCCTGAGTGGGACTGGGTCCAAGGCCTGACCCTCTGACTTGGGGCTCACAGGCCCCTGGCTTCATACTGATGCCCGTGTGACTGGCCGTTTCCCCAGCAGGATCCCGAGGCCCCTGCCCCGTGTGAGGAGACCCAGCTCTCCGTGCTGCCACTTCAGGGGTTCACCCTCCTGGAGGACATGACATCAGAGGCCAAGGCCCCCGGTGTAGGCCCCCCAGCTGCCCTGCCATCCCAGGACATCAGCCCTGGCCTCCTGAGTGAAGGACCAGCCGCCCAGCCAGCCCACTCGGGACAGTAGCCAGTGTCCAGCAGGCTCTGGAGGGAGCAAACCCCGTTCTCAGGTCAAAGGCAAGATTTCTCCCGTCATGTGGGCTTCAGATGGGGGCTTCCCAGCATTTCTGTCCTGACTGCTCCTCAGATGCTCAGGACCTACAGTAGCACCGTGGCAGGGAACCCCCCACCCCGCCAAGGACCCGGAGGGAATCCTGCAGAAGCCCCTCCCTTGGGCCAGGGGCACCCCCCAACCTCTGCCTGGTACCCATGTGACTTGGAACTGAACTAATGGTTTTCTTTTAAAAAAAATAACAAACTTGAAATCCAAAAAAAAAAAAAAAAAAAGAGAGAGAGAGAGAGAAGAGAGAAGGTGAATTAGACTCCAAAAACGCCCCTGCTGTGGCTGGGCCCCGACACGGTCAACCCTCCACGACCTTGTTTTCTCAGGATGGATTTTTGCTGTTTTGGCGCTCAGCACCTACCTCAGCCGGAATGAATGTCCTCGGGGGAGTGGGGTCGTGGCCTCAGCCCCCTGCCCCACAGAGCCCCGAATGCACTCCTACCTCAAGCCCCTTTAGGGGCACGCCCTCTCCCTCCCTACATTGTTGTCCAGAGTTTAAAAAAAAAAAAAAGAAAAAAAAAGCACTTCCCTATTTCCAGGTGTGAAAGAAAATGTCTACCTCGAGGCTCGCTGGCTCTCGGGCCTGTGTTGTATCACTGGACCCTCCCTCCCGGCTCCTCACCAAGGGTGGGCCTCTTGGGGCCTGCAGAAATAACGATGGAATTGGTCAAAGAAAATGTGAAAAAAAAAAAGCCAAACATAAGAGGAAAATTGGTTCCTGGGAGTATCAATTGTTGCTCCAGACTAGCCACCTCCCCGCACGCTGTTGGTGCTCCCGTCCCGTCTGCGTGTCCACTTCTGTGTTGACCCTCTCGGCCGACTCCTCCTTGACTGGCTGGGACCCCCAGACCCTCTCTGCGCCTGGACCTCGGAGGGTGGGACGTCACCCCGCAGCCTGCCTCCTGTCCCGCCCGGACACAGAGCCGGCTCCTAGGGTGCACTGTGTGTGCGGGGGGCTGTGTGTGTGCCGGGGGGGTCCCCAGCCCTCTGTCCCATGGGACACCGCCAGCCTGACCCACCTCCCCCAAGGCAGTGGAGCCACCACGGTCAGCAGATGTGGCCGGAAGCTATTTTTCTACAAGTTGTGTCTAAGGATTTATGTTCTTGTGACTTTTTGTTTCTCTTTTCTGTTGTGGTGTTCTTTGAAAGACTTAGTTAAAGAGAAAGGACAAAAAAAAAACAAGGAAACAAAATCCTATTTTTGGTTACACTCAGAAACATTTTTTTAAATAGCAGAAAGGAAACTTTTTTTTAAAGGAGAAAAAGATGTGTATTCCTTAAATATGCGATTAGACCATAAAGTCCCTGACCCCCAACCCCTCTAGGGACCCCCCAACCCCAGACTTTAGTTAATTAGCTGAGGAAGGTAGATTTGGTGGTGTTTTTCTAGAAGACGGGAGTCTTGTCCAGGTGGACTTGGGGAAGGGCGGTGGTCCCTTCTCCCAAATGCAGGGCCTGAGCTGAGGGCACCTCAGACCTCCCAGGCAGTGCCCCTCGGTTCCCAGTCCTCGGTCCTTGCAGCGACTTCTCTGCATCCCCTTTCATCCTGGAACCCCCCTCTCCCATGGGAAGGGTGGGTCTGGGAGAGGAGGGACGAGGGCCACCTGCCCTGTCTTGGGTTTTGTCACACTCATTTTTAACTGAATAAAAGTCCTGTTGCCAAAGTGAATCTCGGGTGTTTTGGTGGCTGTGTCAGGTCCTGGAAAAGGGGTGGGAGTGCTGGGATCAGGGTAGTGAGCCAGGCAGACCCTCACAGGGCCCGAGGCCAGGGTGATGACAGCAGACCCATGTGCGCCACTGACAGGCACCGTGCGTGCTGGGTCTTCTCCGTGGGCGGGGAGGCTCCCTAGGGCCTCCATTCCTCCCTGTCCTCTCTTCAGTCCAAGCTCCCGAAGCCAGGTATCTGGGGCTGCCAAGGCTGAGGATAGGCCGAGAGAGATTTGGCTTAAGGGTGTTGTGCTGACAAAGATCCGGAGGTCTCAGTGGGCCTCAAGCTTAGTAAGAGGCAATGGTGTAATGCAACTGCTTAGAATGTCAGTGTCTCCTCCACTGCTGAAATGAAAAGGCGGGGCTCACCCCTGGGAGACTGCAAGTCTGGACAGCCGTGTTCTATACTGAGGCATCTTCTGAGAGGAACAAACCAGGATGGCGGCTTGCAAACTGGGTTCTCCAGCTGTGGCTAGGGCCCTGGTTCTCCAGCTGTGCGCACTCTCACCCAGAGCAGCTCTACTCTGTCTTATATGTTGGACTCTTCATGAGATTTCATTTGGAAACCAGCTGCAGCTCAGAAACGGTGATGATGCTGTGGACGCTGAGCTGAGAAAGGAAGCCTGAGTCTGCAGTGGTAGCTGTCCTGAGTCCTGGAGGGAACTGGTTGACTTGTCCTGATTCCCCCTCCCCCAGAGGAAAGAACTAAGCCCACATATAGATTTAATGCCTCACCTCTCTTTACACAGAACTTCAAAAACACAGAAATTCTTCATCCACATGGTGGGGTGATGGGTTTGTCATCTGTTGGAGCAGACAGTGGTGGGGTGGGAGAGCGGGCCAGCTAACCCCCAGTGCCCCTGTCCCCTCCAAGAGTCCAAGATGGTAGTACCTCCCCTAGGGAGGGGCCCAGAAACATTTAAGACCCACCTAACATGACCCATGTAGATACATGGAAATTGCCCACGAATCACATGCAAATATAGGCAGGGCCTGTTCTAGCAAGGCCATGAGCTGGGCTAAGGTACCAGGAGAAGTGGGGTTCCAGTTAGGAAGTTTAGCAGAAATTGGTATCAAAGCTGAGTGGCCCGGCTGGAATCTGGGCCCTGAGATCTCAAATCACCCAGTGGCTGCTGCAGGCTGAAGACACCCCCCACCTCACCCCACCCCTACACACACACTGTCTTTGGGCAGAACCCAGCAGCAGCCTGCTCCAATTATCTGATGCTCGGTAACAAACCACCCCACAACATAGTGGTTTAACCTGACATTTCTTTTGCTCACAAATCTGTGGTTGGGGCAGGCAGGGCTCGGCGGGGACAGCTGTCTCTGCTCCACTGGGCATCAGCTGAGGCGGTGTGAAGCCTGGGGGCTGGAATCATCTGAAGGCTCACTGGTCTCCTGTCTGGTGGCCGATGCTGGCTGTCGGCCGATGCATGTGGCCTCTCCACGTGCCTGGGCTTCCCCGCAGCCTGGTGGCTGGGACCCAGGGACCAGCATCCTGAGAAAGAGAGCCAGGCAGAAACTGCGTCATCATTTAGAACCTGGCCCTGGACGTCCCACAGTGTCACTGCCACTGCCACATTCTACTCATGAGAAGCAAATCGCTAAGGCCGGCATATTCCAGGGAGATGAATTAGATTCCACTTTTTGATGGGAGTAGAGGCAAAAAATTTGTGGACATGTTCGACCACAGGACCACTCTGGGGGGATGCCGGGCATGGAACCACCGTCAGCTGGGTGGCTGGGGTGTGAGGCCCTGGGGTGTGATGGGAGGGGCAGCAGGAAGACAGGGAGTGCTCCCAACTCCTACTCCAAGCCCTGTTCGTGGGTCCTATCCCTGTGATTAGTGAAGATTGGTCGGGATGGGGGCAATCCTGAGGTCACAGGGAGGGGGGACCAGGCCCCTGGGAACACCTGGCAAGAGGCTCTCCGCTGCCTGCTCCCTCTGCTGGGGCTGTGACGGGTGAAGGGCCAAGGGGAGCCAGCCTGAGAGCCCCATCTGCCCGGGGTGGTAGAGCCCAGAATGACAAGAGCTGGAAGGGACCACTGACCCCCTCATAGGAGACACGGCAACCAAGAGCCACGAGGTGAAGGATTCACCCAAGTTCACAGGGAAGTTAGAGGCACAGTCAGGGCTGGAACCCACAACAGC